CCTGCCCCCCTAGCCCCATCCCCACTCTGCCCTGCCCACTGGGCCACCCACTACCTCCACGGCCCGCCACAGATAACCCAGGCAGCCCAGCAGCGCCATGGCAGCCACACCCTCTGCCTGTGCCCCGCAGCATCATCTGCACGTGACGGGGTTCAAGGGCGGAATCTTGTCCCCGCTGCCCAGCTACCATGTCCTTGGCTGTGCTGCTTCGTGTGGGCTGCGCCCAGAGGTGACTCTCCTCTGGGATGGCTGGTGGTGAGGAGGGGGCCGTGGGAGGAGGCAGGGCTGGGGAGACAGTGCGTGTGCCCACAGAGAGGGCTCCGAGTGCCGCCTCTGGCACCCGTGCCATAGGTTCGCCACCACTGATCTAAGCCGAGACTAAATAAACCACATTATAGTTTATCAAAATGTGGATAGCTGAACCAGTCATTGGACAGCTTCCTATATTTCTAAACCTCCCTCTATTAAGGAGCAAAGCAGTAATCTACTAGTGGGGAGAGGACTGCTAAGGCAGCACAGCCATGCCCCACATCTGATCACAAATGCAGAAATTGCTAAGGATTAGACTCTGTTGACCACCAAAGGCAATAAAAAGCAAGGGGTTGCTTCTCTTAGTTCCATCACTCAAAGCTTTCATTTCCCCTGGGCTATGCTGATGGGGAAAGGTCACAAGTGAGAGTCAGAAGATCACTTCCTTGCATATTGTCAAGACATGAGGGAAAACAGCTAGACCCAAGGCGGTAGATAGAGGAGGTGGTGGTTGCTGGCAGTAGGAAAAGGCGCCTCGTGCTTCCCCACTGGAAAGAAAGATTGCTTCCTCCTTTGGAAAGCGTGGCTGTATCAGCAGGCCTGCCTCTCCTTCTCCTTGTTCATGAAATCCACACAAAGTATTGAGCAGCTGAAATGCCAATTTAATTCTGCACCATGGCAGGCCTCCATTCACGCTTCCGACTTAATCCTTTTCATCTAGCTTGCTCGTAACTTCTTGATCTTCAAATCAATTCTGTAAATAGCGGCTGAATATTTCATTCTTTCCTTTGCCTGGGCTGCCTGCATTTCGATGGCGAAAATTCACCATTTTCTACAGGGCTTTGTACAAAAAACTGCTTGGCTGAGACCTTCCAGACCCATTTAATGATGCAAAGGATCCCCGTTAATTCCCCATCAGCCGGTTACTGGGGGGACACACCGCTCCCTGGCTTGCCAATAATATCCCACGTTCATTTATTTCTTTATTTAATATTTATTTGCCTGACGTGTCGATCCATTTCCAAAGACTTCAGGCAGAATTGTCCGTTGTTATTGTGGTACAAGAAAGATGGAAGCCCAGCCTTAGTTCCTGAGACTCCATAGTGTATTGGCAAATGTTTTGGTGTTTGTTTTGGCAAGATTTTTGGAAGACTGGCCCAAAATAATCCAGTTGGCAAGATTAGAAATTATGGTGTTCCAGTTTCTAACCTGGTTTCTTTAACCATTCCACCAAACTGGGTCTCAATCAAAATTAACATCTGAAAAACAGGATTATTTCACACAGACACACATAGAGACAGAATTGTTCTTATGCCTACAACAGTGGTGGCGAACCTATGGCACGCATGCCAGAGGCGGCACTCAGAGTCCTCTCTGTGGGCATGTGTGCTGTTGCCCCAGCCCCACCTCCCCCAGTAGCCCCCTCCTCACAAGCAGCCCCCCAGAGGAGAGTCGCCCCCAAGCATGGCGTGCACGGACCAGTGCAGCCAAGTACATGGCAGCCGGGCAGCGGGGACAAGACTCCGCCCTCGCGCCCCGTCATGTGCAGATGATGCTACAGGGCCCAGGTGGAGGGCGTGGCAACCTTGGCACTGCTGGGCTGCCTGGGCGATATGTGATAGGCTGTTGAGGTGATGAGTAGCCCTGCGGGCAGGGCAGGGATGGTTTTGGGGCACTCAGTCTCTAAAAGGTTCGCCATCACTGGCCTACAAGCTTTAGCAAATACCCCTATGAATCCAGGGCACCAATACGCAAAACCATGGGTCTTCCTAATTCTGGAAGACTTAATATCCTGAGAAGATTAGCAACATCGCTAGTATGAATGAGGGGGGGGGAGACAGGATTTTCCCTGGCAAAAAAACAAATTCTTTTTGCAGTTTAGATTATTCATTATTCATTAGCAGAAGCTGATGAAGCTTCAATACTTGTTCAAACTTTGCTCTGTCCTAAAACACACCAGAATTCTGGGCCTCCGTGTCTTGGTAATTTAGTTATCAAGGTTTGGAGGTGCGGATTTCCTGTCTGCTTCTGGAAAATACTCCCAGCAGTGCTTAAAGGTTGCCTCTAGCTATCATCTTAACATTTTCCATCGCCCCAGAAGGACACTCTGCTAGAAGAATTGTTCTCGCTCTTACTATTTCTAGTCTTTCTGACATTGCACAGGCTACCAGGCAAGAACAATAAGCACAAGATCCTTTCTCCCAATGTTGAGTTCCATCTAAATACAGCTAGCAAAGAGGAGTTATGTATCAGGGCTGAAAAAGACCGTGCAGATTTTTAACTCTGCAGCCTTTTGTATAGAAGTCCTTGAATATCCTGGTCATTCTTGCAAAACACTGAATCAGAATCATAACTGGGAAAAATAACCGCTGCCAAACAATGTTCTTTGGAATTAATGTTCTGGAGAAGAACAAACAAACCAACCAATTTGGGGTGTGCAACGGCCACCCTTCTTCATAGGTCTTACAACAGTCTAACAAAACTGTACAGAAATATTAGCAACGAAGACATCTAACATATCTGATCTACTGATTTCTCATTACAGAAGCAAAAGATAATATCATGTAAAGTTGACCAAAGGCTGTTTGAAACACGTTGTTGTTCTTGGACTAGATTCTAAGTCAACTTTTCCAAATAGCCCATTTAGCATTTAGCCTAGCTCAAGTTATCAGTTGGATCATTATTATTGGTCTAAGTTACACCAGGGTACTTTGGAACAATGTGGACGTTTTCACAACATAGAAATTGGAATAAACAAACTTGCTATCGTCTTTCCCATCTTCTTAAAGAGCAGCTTAACAGCCATTTTAGCTCTGATCAGCTGCAATGGGCTTTTAATGAATCCTACAAGGATTGTATGCAATATCTTGATCATTAACATTATTTTCATCCATTCCTTTATGACATTTTTATCCTCCTTTTCACCCAGGAGATTTAGGGACTGCTTTCCCTCAGAAGTAATCTTTTAGAGGACAATGGTGGCAACCGGTGATTGGAGCTAAAAATCTAAAAGTAGTGTTTTTTTTCCAGACACTTTTTTATTTTCACTGTGAAATGCCTTTCTTTAATTCTCTTTCTGTTGTCTTTTATTTCTCCTCAACAGCTGGTTCTCAGGAAAAGAAAAACCAGTTTTTAGCAGAAGTCTGAACTGATTGCTTGCAAAGGGCTTTTGGAATGAAGATGAAGATTGCTTGAAATCAGGCTAAGGGCCAGAGGTTGCCCACTTCTGGCTGAGGTCACCTTCCACCTGGACTAGCTTACTTGCACAATAACATTTCATCAGTTTTGGATGGAGTACCAGCTGTGACCTTCCGAGGTAGCCCTGCCCTCTACATCATTAACCATGCTCCATTAGCATCCTGTTTGGACTATAGTAATGCCTTAGAAGAGGAGGTGTGAATGGCTAAGAGTCATCTCAAGGAGCATATAGCAGTTGCCTGGTGAATAACGGGAGAGTTGGGGGGGGGGGTTGATCACTGTAGGGAAACAGGGTGGAATAAATCTTGGATCTGATCCTGCCAGACAGCATTATCCTTTTTTTCACAGAGTCCAGATAGATTGTAGATATGGAATAGAACAAATAGCTCTGCCTTGGTCTCTATGCCTTCATAAGGAAAACATTGTAGAATTTGGGAGAAAGGACATTCTAACGTCTTCTATATATGTTTTGCAGGTGCAGATGTGGTTGTTGTAAAAAGTGGTGAGAGAGGTTTGGGAAGAGGACTAGGGGGTGAATAAGTGAGGGTGAGTAAGTAAAAAGGAAGAATGAGGAGGAGGAGGAGGAGGAGGAGGAGGAAGAAGAAGAAGAAGAAGAAGAAGAAGAAGAAGAAGAAGAAGAAGAAGAAGAAGAAGAAGAAGAAGAAGAAGAAGAAGAAGAAGAAGAAGAAGAAGAAGAAGAAGAAGAAGAAGAAGAAGAAGAAGAAGAAGAAGAAGAAGACGAAGAAGAAGAAGAAGAAGAAGAAGAAGAAGAAGAAGAAGAAGAAGAAGAAGAAGAAGAAGAAGAAGAAGAAGAAGAAGAAGAAGAAGAAGAAGAAGAAGAAGAAGAAGCTTATATGCTCAACTATAGTACTAACAGATCTGGATTAATAATATGGGGAAAAACTGTCCTAGTGATGAGCAGAGTAAGAAACTAAATTCCACACATCCAAGGGAAACTGCCTTTTCTGCAAAACAGTTATCAGAGGGAGCACTTCTATATGTTTTTTTTAAAGCATCATGCTTTTTAAAAACTAATCAGTTAAATTGTTCAAAGCCACAGGAACAGATTTCTTCCTGGAGTCATAATACTCTTAGAGATCTAAATTGCTTCTTTCATAGCAACTTCACATTTTGAGAGTGTTCCATTCTAATAGACCTTATATGTTAACTTTCCTTAACGCCAACACCCATGTCTCACGTGAACATTGCCTGTCCACCTTCTGTGCATCTTGTTTTATGAGTGTGTTCTGATGTGTGTATTTATGTGAATATGGAGGCAGCTGGTCATACAGTTTCCCAAAACAAGCTTCTACAGGGATCCTGTTTTCATTCGGATGCATCAAACACACAAACATACAGAGTTTCTAATGATCCATCCCATGAAATATCGCTACCTGTGTTCCCCGTCAGTTCCAGGTACAGTATAAGCTAGCCCGTGTTTTTTATTATTATTATTATTTTGCTCACTGATTCGGATGGAAATTCCGTGGCTTTTTTTATGCAGACCGATCAAAATGCAAGGCTTACCATGAAGCATAGTTAGAGGTACTTGCCTTTCTAAACTTTCCCCACTGCCAGCCGCACAAAAGCTGCTGCTTCCAGCCAGAGTGACCTGAAAAGAGACAGATGAAACCATCAGATGGAGAGGGAGATAGAGATAGAGATAGAGATAGAGAGAGAGAGAGAGAGAGAGAGAGAAGGATGTTTCTTCATTGCAAATTCCAACTCCCCCCCCCCAAAGCAAAAGCAACAGAAGTTAAATACAATATAGATTATTTCTACCCAACTCTACAAAGAATACTGCTGGTTATAATCCACAGACAAACCAAAGAGGTTGTCTATTGTTTTTCATTTTAATTAATTAAAAAAATGAACTAGACGGAAGGCACAGAAAACCTTGCAAAAACCAAGACAAATTTGTTAGTGCCAATTTCTAGAAGGAGAGGCCTTATTCCATTCCAGCTGCGCCAAGCAACCTCTTATCTGGTTTTTCTATCCACCCGAAGGAACTTTCACTTCTGTTTCCTTTGGGGGCTTGCATACCCCAATGTTTTGTCTAGAATTTACATCCTTGGCTCAGCCTGTTAGTAGAAAGAATGCAGACCACCGTGGTGCCAAAACGGTTGTACCGCATTCCATCTGCTTCTTTGCTGTTGTACCCATGGTGCAGCTCAAGCTGGGGTAGGGCAAAATATACTTCTTGTGGGCTCACTTCCCAGTTTCGTACCCCGCAAAATTTCTCCCTCCTGACACTCCCCCACCCCCTCCAATATCTGCTTCTCTCTCTCTGAGTTCCTTTTCTTCCGACTCTGGTCAAGAGCATCTCTAGCACTTTCTCTCTTCTAAAATCATTTGATATGTTGTAGAACAGAATTACAGTTTCATTTAGTGGATTTCATTTCTCTAAGGCAGTGGTTCTCAACCTGTGGGTCGGGACCCCATTTGGGGTCGAACGACCATTTCACGGGGGTCACCAAACAACGCAGTCCACCATTTCCCCCCCCTTTTCCTTAGCTGTGCTCCTCCCTTTTATTCTATTGGCTTTTGAAAGCCAATAGAGCAGACTCTCTTGAATAGAGTCTAATTCTATTGGCTTTCAAAAGCCAATAGGAATTGTCCAGGCTGTCTCTACCCTGCTGAGCCTGCCAAAAGTCCCATTCTGCAAACGGTGCTGCACCAGTTGAGTAGTCCTTGACTTACGACCGGTTGAGTAGTCCTCGACTTATGACCGGTTGGGGGGGGTCACGGCATTAAAAAGGTTGAGAACCACTTCTCTAAGGACTGTGAAGGGAGGGAGGAAAGAAATTTGAAAGAAAAAACATTGAAAGAAAGGACATTCATGCACACAAAACATGGACCTGCTCCTCAGTCACCCTGTACACTGAAAATTTTGGAATTCTGTTTCTCCTTTGAAAGGATTCTGAATACAGTACAAATTCAGTCAGCTGAATGGGAACAGGGATTTTTTTTAAAAAAAATGAAGGATAATTTCTCCGGCTCGCACTTCTCCAGAGTAGGATTTTACTTTTGCAAAATCCCAGAGGTGCTTCTTTCAAGAGGCAGCTGTGACCTAGATGACTGAGAATCTCCATAGACATTTACCTCTGCACAGTGGTGGGATTCAGTCGGTTCGCGCCAGTTCAGTAGAACCGGTAGCTAATTTTGTGTTGAGTTCCGTGAACTGGCTGACTCCCACTACTGGATGGTGTCCACTGAAGCCCTAAGCCCTTTTTTCGCAAGGCCCAGAATGGCCCACCAGAAGTGCGTGGATGCCACTTCCGGAAGTCCCTTCTGGGCCTCAGAGGCTCAGACCCAGAACATATTTCTGGAAGCAGCATCCACGCAGAGAACTGATTGTTCACATATTTGAATCCCACCACTGCTTCTGCAAAGCTAAAGCACCATTTGGAACCTTCTATATTAACAGTGCTTGTTTTTATTTTTCCAAACTCGCCTGTGGAATTCCTAACATTCTACCATTCAGGTGATCAGAAGAAGGGCCAGAAGGCTAAATGCATTTTAAAATAACCCCTGTGCAATCCCAGCCACAGTTTAAGACAGGCCTTCAGTCCATTAATTATCTAGCTTTCCTAAGTTATGTTTAAATACATTTGCATGTTGGAAAAACTTCAACAAAAAGCTCTTGCTTTTTGGAGATCCTTGAGGGAGGTGACAAGTTCTCTTTGTGATTCATAATTGTATGCAGAAAAGGTTGCTATATTCATTGCTTGACTGATGGATGGACCCCTTTAGGTTTAAGGAAGGTTTACCTGAACCTGGGCAATTAAAGCAATATTTCTAAGGTTCCAGTGTCCCAGTAGGCTGGTGTTTACTTTAAATACTTCAACTTTCACCCTTTTCCCGCAGTGTTAATGAAGAGTAAAATCATTTTCTGATACAATACACAAACAGTTTATAAACTATTTGGCTCAAATAAACATATTGTAGAAACCACAAAAAAGAAAGCCATTGCAGACAACGGTGTACAATTAATTGTTGTTTTTGTATCCAGATTGCTGTCAAGCTTCAATTAATTTCCAAGGTCTATAGTCTGTAAAAAAAAAAAAGTGACCCAAATCGCATGAGATTTGGTATGAGAATACTAACAACTCGAAGGATCCTAAGAATGAGACTGCCAAAATCTCATGAAATTTGATGCATCTCTTAAGGTTCAATCATGGGGAGGGGATGGTGGTGAGTGGGCGCCTGTGCCATAGTGCCAGGTTGTGCATTAGTGCCCATTATCTGGAAATGCTGCTGGCCACCGAACTTTCCTTGTCCTCCAGCATTAAGATAGATTCCTGTCAAAAGTGTTTCCTGATGAATGCTCTTGTTAACCAGCATTAAAAAATGTGCTGCACTATATGTCAAGTCAGGTTCTGCATTTATAGTGCAAGCTCCATGCAGTTTGAATAGAGGCTTAGAAGAAATATTTTTAAAGGAGAGAGAGAAAGAGAACGCATGTAGGTGACACTCCTATCCTGGACATTCTTGAACTGGTGGCAAAAAGCAGATATTTCTCCCTGCATAATGTCTCACCTTACTTTCATTTTTCCAATAAACGCTCAAAGAAAGTGTTTCCTGCTCAATCATCTTGTCTGCCAGCTTGCCATACTTTGAAGTGTAGGTGCAATGAGTGATGGGAAGGCAAAATGGAAAGCAAAGTATGAGAATATGGAAACAACTGCCATCCCTAAGCTACCAGGACTTACAGCCTTCTTTGAGCCTTCTTCTCTTCACCTGGGCTGCTATGTACAAGGAGGCAAGGCTGTGTGTGAGCCTCCAACATTTGACAGAGAGAATGGCAACTGGAGAAACCAAGGGAACATGCTTTTCAAACCATGAACTGAGCAATCCCCATAAACCTAATGGAAATTCTTTCTGAATGTTGTGCAGTTAAGTGGTTTTATGTAGCAAAAACTCAGAATTAGAAAGTATCCCAAAGCCGAACAAAACCAACAATAAACTCTGCCCTCCAAACCTTTACCAGTGCAAGTTTAGTCCATGAAGGACAAGAAGCAACAGATGGAAACTAATCAAGGAGAAGACCAACATAAAACTAAGGAGAAATTTCTTGCCAGAAAAATTAATCAGTGGAACAACTTGCCTCCGAAAGTTGTGGGTGCTCCAACACTAGAGGTTTTTAAGAAGAGATTGGACAACTATTTGCCTGAAATGGTGTAGGGTTTCCTGCTTGAGCTAGATGATCTCCAAGGTCCCTTCCAACTTTGATATTCTGTTATTCTGTTATAGGAACACCTGAAGGGTCACAGGTCCCATTGAGGATCATCTAACAAAGTAAATGGTGATCCACAAACCCTATATCACAATAAACACATTTTCCTCTAAGGTGCCACATGATTCTGTTACTTATAAAAAAATCTATCTTGAAGACACATCCGTGACCAACTTTAATCCAAAATAGGAAGTCAGGCGCCTGGGGAGACTTCTGATTAATCTGGTTTCCCTCTAACCAGCTGGCCTGGAGGCTACAGAATGGCCAATGGTGCAGATATCAAGCTGTCTCTCCCCAAATGCCTAATTAACAGGAAGATTTGGCTGGAGGAGAACACCACGGGAGGTAAGCGAATCTGGAAACTGGGGGCAGCAGGGGTGACAGCATTCACTCATATATTAGCTTCAGCTCAAAATCTATCAAACTGCCTCAGTTTACATACTGATCCCTTGTGGGAGGCAGACCTCACACATTTGCATATACACAGCCCACTCCATTGGACTGCCATCTCTTAAGAAAAAGTCAGAAAAAGTAGGAACTTGTGAAATATTAGGAAGTGCAGAAAAGTATGTCAAAACTGGGGATGTAAAATGAGAAATGTACTAACACAATGAATCTCTCTCTCGCTATCTAGCTACCTCTTATCTATCATCCACCCACCCTTCCTTCCTTCCTTCCTTCCTTCCTTCCTTCCTTCCTTCCTTCCTTCCAGCCAGCCAGCCAGCCAGCCAGCCAGCCAGCCAAGGGCTAGAAACTACTTTATGCATTTCAGTATTCAAAAGGATTAAGATCCTTTAATTCCATAGGCAGCTGTATCTAAAGATGATGGTGGTGGTGGTCTTCCTCTGAATAGCATCTCACAACTGAAGATTCTTCCCACCTTCTTTCCCCAATCAAGAATGAAAATCCACAAAGTAGTATTACAATGAAGGCTTGTATATAAATACCATTCAAAACAATATCTCTTGTTTGAAAGGCCTGTGCATCACATAGGGAAGCTTCAACATTTTTTAACAGAATTTATTATATTGCCATGCATAAGAAAATGTCCAAAGATAAAGGAACCCCAAAGATCAGAGAAGAATTCGTTTTTTAAAGTAATGTAGCTGGAGTTGGGGGTTCCCTAAAACCAACAACAAATAAGACCCAAGTTTGCTTTGCAGACTCAGAATGAAGAAAAGATGCTTTGATGGGAATAGGAATATTTCATGTTACAATATTTTGCTGCATGGGTCACCTTTGATGTTAACATTAGGTAAACTCAGTATTAATTGAATTTTGGCTCAGTGGCGAGGATATCTAGAACTTTACAAATTCAGACTAGCTGCAAGGATCAGGATCAGGTGATGGAAAAGATCTTCTACTTAATAGTCCAG